CTCTACCAATCTAGCTAACCAAGGAAGGGGTGTATGGAAACAACTAAATGGAGGTAAGTATCCCACTGATATGGGGACTCTAGAAGGAAGTCAAATGGATAATATGAAAGGTAATAACGCAGTCTCTCATGGTAAATCTGCACTTTCCAAGATTCCACATAAGGAAAGCTGCATCAGAATTTTGGAAATAGGGGATTTCTCAGGGAAAGAAGATGTTGTCTAGAAGAAGTCCTTGCCTGATGAGGTTCAAGAACTGCAAAATGTTAATATTGAAGGTAACGTAGGAGTCCAATCTCATGTCTTCAATTCTAATGTGATTATTAATGCTGATGAATCCTGTTATGGTTCTCAAACAAAAACGGATATATCGCACGAAGTGAGTGTTGATACTATCCATGAACATGCGATGATAACTGCCAAGGAGCAACGTTTATTAAATGAGCAATGTTTATATCCTCAGACTCCACCTTTTTTATTGACCTTAATTATGCAGCTAGGAAAAATTTCAATAAGTCCTTAGATGATGATATGGGACTGTATAAGGAAAAGGAGCCGCTAGATAGAGGATATTACATGGATGATGAGGTCTCTGATAGCACTTTTGATCCGCTTTCCCATGGTTCACAATCCCCACCTAGTAGTGGTTATAACCATATTCTATCACAGAATCGTCCAACGGGCATGATTACTAGATCGAAATCTAGAAGAGTAACTTTTTCAATCCCTTTAAATGATTAATACGATCATATGGAATATTCGAGGAGCAAATTCATAATCCTCTAGGAGAAGATTAAAGACGTTTATTTCTTTAAATGATGTATATCTAGTTTCTATTTTGGAACCTAAGTTAAATTCTGATAAACTGCCAAGCCTTTGTAGGAGTTTGGGATTTTCTGGGTTTGTGGTCAACCCACTTGTTGAGAGATATATCTAGGTCCTTTGGGATCATCGTATTACGTTGAAAGTAGTTGATATACATGAGCAATCACTTACAGTGGAGGTCTCATTTATGGGTACTCAGGCCCTACTTGTTTCCTTTATCTATGCTAAGTGTGACCATATTCAGAGAAGACCTCTATGGGCGCACTTAGCTAGTATCCAAAGCTCCCCTAAACCATGGATGTTAGTAGGGGACTTTAATACCATCGTTTCTTCATTAGAGCATAAGGGAGGAGCTACCCCTAGTTTATCTATCATGAGTGAATTTTCTACTTTCATTAATACCATGGGATTACAGGACTGTGGTTTTAATGGTACTACTTTTTCCTTGTGTAACAAGCGTCATGGTAGGACAAGAATGTGGCAACGAATGGACAGTCACTTACCAATATTGAATGGGAGCAGAGATTTGCAAGTACTCAAGTGGAACATGCTGCTAAAGGTTCTTCTAACCATTGTCCATTAATAGTGAGGTTATCAGAAGTGGATGAACCAAGAAGATTATCATACTTTAAATTTCAGGACATGTGGACTGCTCATTCTGGTTTTCTTGAGTTGGTGGAGTCTCACTGGCCTGGTAATCACTCATCCAATACTATTAAAAATGTGTTCTTGAAGCTGAAATTTCTTAAGTGCCAACTGAAAATATGGAATAGAAATACATTTGGTAACCTATTTGAAAATATTAAAGCCAAGGAGATGAGACTTCAGCAAGCAGAAATTGACTTGGAGAACATCAATTCAGCAGTCCACCGCTCTACTTTGGAATTGGCAAACAAGGAATTGGACGAAGTGTTGAAGATGGAGGAAACTTACTGGAGATAGAATGCAAATATGAAATGGACAATGGAGGGGGAGAGGAATACCAAATTGTATCATGCAGTGGCCAAGGGAAAGAGGGGTAGAAATAGAATCTTGCGAATTAAAAATGTAGAAGGTGATTGGGTGGACAATGAGAAGGCTATAGCGGATTGTGCAGTTAGTTTCTTCTCCACGCTTTATCAATCTGAGCCTCATGTTTTGGAAAGTGAGCTCTTTTCAGTCATTCCCCCTCTAGTTACTATGGAGGACAATGTGTGTTTAACAGCCTTAACAAGTTTGGATGAGTTGAAAGAAATCATATTTTCAATGTCGATTCATAGTGCTCCAGGTCCGGATTCTTTCAAGTAGCCTGGCCTATTATTAAGCTGGATCTCCTAGCTATTGTGAATTATTTTTTGCAAGGTGGGGTTGTTCCAAAATCAGTGAATGCCACCTTATTAACTTTAATTCCTAAGAAGGATGTTCCTACTTCTTTTTCAGACTTCAGGCCTATTAGCTTATGCAACTTTATGTACAAAAATTTTACTAAACTGTTGGCTAAGAGACTCAGCATTTTACTACCCAAGTTGATCTCAGTGGAGCAGCATGGCTTTGTTAAAGGAAGGAACATAGGTGACAACATTGCTCTTGCTTAATTTATGGTGCATGAACTTTATAGGAAGGTGGAAGCTGGTAATGTTATACTTCAATCAGACATGATGAAAGCCTTTGACAGGATAGAATGGGATTTTCTAAAAAAGGTATTGACCTGCTTTGGGTTTTCTGACAATTTTCTGATTGTTATTTCAAATTGCCTCAACAATTAGCACATCTCGGGTGGTTGTTAATGGAGTTAGGCATGGTATTTTCCCTACTTCTAGAGGTCTTAGGCAAGGGGATCCATTATCTCCTAGCCTATTCATATTAGCCGAAGAGGTTTTAAGTAGAGGGCTTTGATATTGCTTCCAGCAAGGTTTCATTAAAAACTATCACACAAGGAGGGGGAACGCACTACTTAGTCACTTGTTTTTTGCTGATAACACTCTTATCTTTTTAAGGGAATAAGAGATAGATGTGTAACCTGTTGAATTTTGTGAGAAGATATGAGGGCTCACATGGTCAAAAAGTTAACAAGCAGAAGTCATCCCTATATTGTTCGTCTAAGATTACTCTCGCTAGGAGTAATACCTTATCCCACACATTTGGTATCCCAGTCAAATCATGCCCATTTAACTATTTGGGGTGTCCAATAACTAAATTCAGGGTCAAGCTGCTCTACTTTGAGGATTTTCTACATAAATTTCAATCTAGGCTGGAAGGTTGGTATGCTAAACTTCTATCCAATATGGGCAGAGTGGTTCTAATTCAATCAGTTCTTAACTCTATTCTGGTGAATCTGCTAGCTACTTTAAATTTGCCTAAAGGCATTATAGCTAAACTTAACTCCATTATGGCGTCATTTCTATGGTCTGGTACAAGAGATGGCCACAAGAGGCATTGATGTTCCTGAGATAATATTACTAGGCCTAAAGAGGAGGGTGGACTTGGGATCAGGAAGTTTTTTGATGTGCAAAAAGCCTTTAGAATGAAACAAGTGTGGCAATTACTGCAAGGCTCATCCCATTGGTCATCTTTTTTCACCTCTAAGTATTTCAAGAATCAACATCCACTTATACAGCCCACTAGCAATCACTCCAAACTTTTTAATGCTCTGGCTCCGTGGATAGGGGCAGTAATCAACAGCTCCAAAACGTTGGTGGGAACAGGTCATACTGTTAACTTCTAGTGTGATAATTGGCTTGGAACGGGATCGTTAATACTAAGGAATTCTACATAGCATAGTCAGTTTCCTATGCTGTCAGACTTGTTGGTAAATGGTAGTTGGAACTTACAAGGAGTTTTGGAATGCTTAGATGACAATCTACTACAAGAAATTGTTTCTTCATTTGTTTTGCTATCCACAGAGGACGATAAGTTGATCTGGCAGCTCACTCCTACTGGGGAATTTTCTCTAAAAGCTGCTTGGTATCTAGTTCGTATTGTTGGGCCAGTTCAGATGTATTATTCAGCTTTATGGAAACAAGTTTCTCCTCCTAGAGCTATTTTGCATGGATGGAAGCAATGGAAGGACATTCTCCCCATGGACTCTACTTTTCAGAGGAGGGGAGTGGCTTTGGCCAGCAGGTGTGCATTATGTGCAAAGGAAGCAGAGAAGTGTGGGGTTATGTCTCCAGATTTTTTGGTTTTCACTTGATTGAGAATGAAGGTCCTATCACAAGATTTCTACGACTCCTAAGAATAGTCAGGCTCTCTTCTATGAGTCATGTTTTGACTACAGGTATTTCACTACTGGTTTTCTGGCAACTATGGAGGGAAAGATGTAGGAGAGTTTTTGAGAATCACAAGCTTCACCCTTTTGTTTTATTTAAAGCTATTCTTCAATTTTTTCATATGCACGCATACAATGTTAAGCCCAAATACATGGACTCAGAATCAAGGAAAGCCCTTCTACTCTCTCTCAATATCAACTCTATCTCTCATGTGACAATAAAGGTGAAATGGGTCTCTTGGCTATTCCACCAGAAGGTAGATTGAAATTAAATATTGACAGAGCTTCAAAAGGAAACCCAGTTTATATGGGGGTGGGGTGATCATACGCAATCATTGGGGTCAGTTTGTTCTAGCAAGTTCTTACTCCTATGGTAGATGTACAAATATGGAAGCTGAGATGCGTTCTTTACTGAGATCCATAATTATGGCTTAGAGGTTTACACTTGGGTAATTGAGACTGACTCTCAGGTCTTATTGGACACGATTACCAAAAAATCTTTGCCATCCTGGCATTTGTGGAAATTCATGAATCAAATACTTCCCCTTCTACAGCTTTGGACTTTTAAATACAACATATTTATCGAGATGGAAACTTAGTTGCAGATGCTTTGGCAAATCAAGGGGCTCTGGGTCAAGCCCCTCATTTATACTCAAATCAAGGAGACTTGCCTCTTCAAATCAAGCTTTTATTGCAGCATGACCAGCGTGGGATCAAGGCAGTTCGTAAGAGGGTTCTCTGTACTATCCTAAACTATTTGAACTCTACAGTTAATTGCAAGTTCACAACATAATTTATAAAAAAAAATAGAAATCTCAAGCTTGGACGAGCAAGACAAGCACCTATTTCGAAGTCAGGATGCTGGATTTGGTGGCTTTTTTTGTTGCTATCAAATGGCAGGATACTATGGAGTGTTCTTCTTCTTTGATTTTTGACTCTTCGTGGAAGACTCTTCTTGGATTTTTTCAGATTCTGGAAGGCTATTTGTGGATCCCTTTGCATTTGAATTTTGGGAAAAATCTTGGATCAACTGTACATGGATCTACATATACGTTTGCTCTGACAATTGGAATTCCTGCCTAGCCTGGTTTTTCTTCATTTTTGCAGGTCTCTATTCTGAATACTCATACAAGGGCTCATCGTTTTAATGGCTGTCTATTGCTGTTTATTTTTCACCTGGTCTTCTTCATCTGGCTTTCTCTATCTCTTGTTGGATATTCGTCTTCTACACTTAAAGGAGGAGCTAGCCATGGACGCTCTCAGGTTTCTCTTTGGAGCTTTTGGATTTCTCAGAGATATTCTCTATTTTTCGTCTGAGGCTTTCCATTTGCCTAACAATGGGACTATCAAGACATTTTCTGAGTTGTATCCGAAGTCTTTTCATTCTCCTCATCAGACTACTTTTACTCACTGCCCAATGGCAAATCAGCCCGTTGACTCCTTCAGCTCCTTCAGCTTTCCCATCAGCTAATCCCAGCTCTTCCGCCAGCTCATGCTAGATCAAGATAGCAGCTGATTATGGACCTTGGATCCCTTCAGCTACCCATTTTACTGTTGTATACCTCAGCTGGATGCAACAGTTGAACAGTCACTGTTCAGTAGTCAAAGCAGTGCAAGCTCTAAAGTGCATTGTTTATTTACACACTTACGTTTGTAAAAAAAAAAAAATTCTAGAAATTTCACACACTTGGAAGTTTTATGTGTGTGAAAGTTTAAATAAAGGGAAAATTAGAATCCAAATAAGATTCATAGTAGAGTGCAACAAAAAAGTGCTATAAACGTGGAGTAAAGTGAGATTTATAACCTCCATTTTCTTTTGAAGTTTCGAGATCGAAGTTGAGGTCCCAAAGACAATTGCTTAGCAAGTACTCAAGAATAATTTTCACTAGAGAGATTAAAAGAAAAAGGGAGAAAAATGTGAAGAGACTACCAAATTGAAGGTACCCTAAAGGCATTTTATAATGAGTGAATGAGTTAGAGGAAGGAAAATGAATCAAAGGTCACTAACCTACAATCAATATTTTCTAACGATGAAGTGGAAAAAGACATATGAAGGATACAACTGCAACGTTGTCTTTGTAATTCATATTTTAGAATGTAGTTTGAGCATCCGGAATATGAAGACAACGCTGTCTTGCATGTTAAGTCTCTCTTTCAATTTTGGCAAACATTACTTTTGTAAGGGTAATTTGGTTTGAAAGAAATAAATGAGCAGTGATAAAAAGGAAAAAAAAATATATATATATTTTTAGTCTTGTATTTTGGTTAGAATTAACAAATTGGTTGAAAGGTAGGAAATTTACAAGAAAATATTCCTAGTTGGCCAGATTATCCTTAAATATATTAAACTTGAATAAAATTAAAAAAAACACGTATTATACCCAAAAATTAGAAGAAAAAAAAAGGTTCTAGGACAGTGGTCAACTTGACCCAGCACAGGCAATGGCTGGCGCAGCCCGTACCAAGCTTTTTAAAATTAATCAACAATGGAATATTTAAGAATAAAGAAGGGTAAAATGGAAACTCAAACTGTACACCACCACTATCTTATTTATTTATTTTGTGTTTTTTGTAAGAAAAAGAAAATTATTTGTGGAAAAATCTATGGATGAAAAAAAGTTAATGTCCATTGTTTACCATTTCATGCTAAATAAACACATAAAAAACATAAAATTTTTCCTTTTTTTTTTTCATTTTCTACCATTATTCTGCTAAACAAATGAATATTAATCAAAGTTGATGGCCATGACACTCGTAAATCTACTCTCAAGGCAACTTCAGGGCCCATGTCATTATGTTTCTTCATTGACGTAGTATGAGCATCTAGAATATGAAAATGTCTTCATCTTACATATTTTGTCTCTTTTTCAGTTTTGGCATACACTAGCTTTTCAAAGCTGACAACTATTGCACTTTTGAATCTTTCCCTGAAACAACTTCAGCGTCCCATGTCTATTTTTTCTTCATTGACATAGTTTGAGCACTTGGAATACGAAAGTGGTGGCATTTTACATGTTTGGACTTGCTTTCGAATTTGGCAAACACTTTCTTCTCAAAGTTGATGGCCATAAAATTTAAAAATCATTCCATGAAGAAACTTAGGGACCATGTTTGTATTTTTTTCTTTAGTGACATAGTTTGAGCATCTAGAATATAAAAAACAGTGTGGTCTTGTATATTTTTACTCTTTTTCAGTTTCAACAAACACTAATTTCTTAAAGTTGATGGCCATGTCACTTTTCAATCTTTCCACAACACAACTTTAGGGCTCAAGTCTTCCTTTTCTTCATAATTTCATGAAAAAAAATAAAAATTACTTGGTTCCTTAAATTATATCACAAATTTTGATTCAATTCTTGAATTATATTTTGCGAGCCTACCAAACTAAAGGTACTCTGAATGTATTTTATAATGTGTGAGTGAGTGAGTTGGGGGAAGGGGAATGATTCAACTTGAGTCAAAGTCACCAACTTACGATCAATATTTTTCCAATGATTCAGTGGAAAAAAACTTAGGGAGGAGACAATTGTGTCATTGTCATCATAGTTCCTATTTCAAAACGCAGTTTGAGAGTGTAGAATATGAAAATGACTTTATCTTAAATGAATAGATTCTTGTTCAATTTTGGAAAACACTAACTTCTTAAAGGTTTATTTGATTAGGAAGAAAAAAATTACAGAAAGTGAAATCATTAGAAAAGAAAATCAAAAGAAATATACTTTTATTCATGTATATGGTTAGCATGAAAAATTTGTAAGAAAAATTTAATTTTATTATTTGAAAGGTAGGAAGGCTTCAATTAAATTTTCCTTCTTGTCCAAATTATCTTTATCTGTATTAAACTTGAAAAAATAATAAAAATAAAAAACATTTATTATACCTTAAAACTAGAAAAAACAAAAAGTGTCTCCTAGGCTATTTCATGGACAATGATGGATTTGACCCCAGACTTGCAGGATAGATTCTATGGTTGACTATCCCACACCAAGCTATTTAAAATTAATGAACAATGGAATATTTAAGGAAAAAGAAGGGTAAAATAAAAATTCAAATTATTTTTTTATTTTTTTATTATCTTTGGGGAGGGGGAAGGGGAAGAGGAAGGGAGACTTGATCCCTTGATCTTAAGAACGCAAATTCTTTACAAGACAATGAGTACTATTGAAAAAAAAAGTTATTGGTGAAAAAATCTATGCATGTGAAAAAATTAATTCTCCTTTGTTTTCCATTTTATGCTAACCAAACACAAAAAATTTGTAAATTTTTCATTTCTTGCGTTTTCTACCCTTGCCTCGCTAAACAAACGAACCCTAAAGTTAATGACCATGACACTTTTACATCTTTTTACAAAGCAACTCTAGGGTCTGAGTCTTTTTCTTTCTTCATTGACATGGTTTGAATATCTGGAATATGAAAGTGCCATCGTCTTAAATGTTGGTCTCTCTTTTAGTTTTGACAAACACTAGCCACTCAAAGTTAATCCACATTGCACTTTTAAATCTTTCCATGACGTAACTTTGCGGCGCATGTCTGTCACTTTCTTCCCTGATGTTGTTTGGTCGTTTTGAAATATGAAAACGACGGCGTCACACATTATTGGACTCTCTTTTAGTTTCAATAAAACATTGGTTTTCCAGAGTTAATGGTTATGACACTTTTAAAGCATTCTATGAAGCACCTTAAAGGATCGGTCTGTCTATTTTTTAATTAACTTAGTTTGAGCGTTTGGAATATGAAAGCAGTGTAGTCTTACATTTGGACTCTCTTTCTGTTTCAAGAAACACTAGCTTCTCAAAGTTGCACTACAACAAAAAAGGTATGTTGAGATGATTTTTTCATTGCCAAATATAAAAAAATCGTCACCAATCACTTTTCGTGTGTTTTTTTTGTCGCGACTTTGTTGTAATAGCCTCATCGAGGAAAGTACTTAGCGGAAAACTATTATTGTTGTTTTAGAAAATATATTTGGCAACAAAAAATAAACGTCACGCAAAATAAAAACCACATTGCTGAAAATATATTTCATTGTCGTTGAAAAAATAGTTAATAATAATTTAATTAATTTTCTGCGACAAAAATAAATCATTGCAAATAAATTTACATTTATCGACATATAAATGCATTAGCAATGCTACAAAAACGTTGCAAACATAGTGCATCAGTTCGGGTTTCCCCAGCACAAAGTGGCCGACCAGGGAACAGTCTTTGCAGGTGGTGAAGTTAAGGGGTTTGTAGAAACATATGGTTTTAGCATCATTCATTCAACTGCATACTATCCACTAGGAAATTTCCAGGCTGAATCCATCGACAAATGGATAAGAGGAATCATTGCCAAGATGGTGGAAGACAATCCAAGATGCTAGCATGACAAGTTGTCAAAGGCATTATGGCCATATAGAACGTCCAAATGGTCTAGTATCGAAGTTACACCATTCAAGTTGACCTACGAAAACGATGTGGTCTTGCTGATTGTGATCACCATAAAGTCATTGTGAATGGATTTTCAACATAATCTAAGTCCAACTGAATATGACAAAGTCATTATGGTACAACTTAAAGACTTAGATGAAGTGCAACCGGGTGCGCTAAATTATATTAAAGTGCAAAAGCTAAGAGACACTAGGGTGTACAACAGAAGAACCAAAGACAAGGTGTTTGGGGTAGGTGACTTGGTTTGGAAGGCAAGGTTGCCTTTAGGTCTTAATGACCAATGGTTTGGCAAATGGCTACCAACAGGGAAGGGCCATTTGAAGTCTAAGAAATTAATAAATGTAGTGTTTACCACTTAAGGGACTTAGATGGACAACACCATAATCACTCCATAAATGGGCAGTTCTTGAAGGCCTACAGACTAATGGTCTGGGAGGCCGCAGAATGCAAACAAGACTGTTAAAGCCAAAGTGTCATAGCCGACAGCCAATGCAGGCCAATGGCCATTACAGTGTTCGTCCTAAAACACGACAGTTGTATAAAATTTAAACAAAAAAGTAAAAGATGGATAAATTAAAGATGACATTGCAATTTTTATTCAGGAAATTTTGCACAAATACATTAAATACAATTTACAAACATGAAAAAAGTAAAGTGCTGCCTTGAGTGAGCTTGCTTCTACAAGATCTTTGTGCCAGTTTGAAGATGGAAACTTGTGCACCATAGACAAAAAAAAAGGAGCAAGGTGGGAGTGAAAGCTTGGGTGCATGAGGTAGAATGGCATTAAACATAAGCTTTCCTAGTAAAAGGCCTTCCTTAGTCCCCACTTCTCAATTCCAAATGGGTGCACAAGTAGTTTATCATATGGTTAGCTAAGATCAAAAGAGGGAAAAAGGTCCATAGCCATTAGATGCACCATAAGCCAAATTAAAGAGTTTCTTCCAATGACTCTAGATCCATGTTATCAACCCATTTTGCATAACCCCCAAGACAAGGATCATCAGCATGACCAACGAATATAGGTGCAACGAGGACCCATCTTTCGAAGGAGAATGAAGTAAGTTG